GTCGACGTGAGACACTTGCTCGTCGTCCACGATTTTTCTCACCTTAAAAACGTCCACATCATCACCCATATATGGGGCATGCATACAGCGAGAGAGCGAGAGAGCGAGGGAGCGGGCAGCGCAGATCATACACGTGTTCTTTAAAAAAACTTACATAGAGTACCGCCCGGGCGTGCGAGGAATTTAACACGATTTTGATACGAAGAAAAACAACATACCGAACGGGGAATGCACCTCTCGCGGGAAGCTTAGTACTGTCTGCCTGATCCCGGCCTGTATTTTAGCGTTGCTTCTGCAGTGTTATTTTTTTCTGTCGTGTAATATTGTTTGGCTATGCACTCCTGTGGAATTCTTCTGCGCGTTTTCTACGTCTTCCACCAATAGGTGAAGGTTTCGAAGCAACTACAGCAGTATGATCGTCGTCGGCGTCAGTAACAACACCATAAGTTACCGGTGTACGTCAACAGCAGGTTGACCCGCTCTTGGGGGTGGATACCTCATGGCTTTTTACCTAAAACAACAGCGATCGTCCGTGGACGTCATGAGGTGTTGAGTACGATGGGTAAAATGACCACAAAAAAAGGCATGCGTGTCAACATACACTTCGACTGCTGTCTATGTACAACGTTCTCGGCCCATCCGTCCTAATCAATCCCCCTACCCATGACCGTGTACCTGGTGGTCAGGGTCTCGGAAGCGCGCGGTGACCTCTGTCCACAATTCGTTCCGCGGCCCGACTGATGAGGTGTCCAGGTCCTGCCGGGTCGCCTGCAAGCGGCTCTCTATGAGAAGTGGGCGGATGGCGTCTTCGCACAGGATCCCAACGAGCCGCATCATGCAGTGTGGGCCCTTGCGCTCCGTGTTGCTGCCGCTCCCTCCGACGGAACCATCCCCGTCCGGTCCGGCTGCACCACCCGTCGATGAACCACCAGTGGGAGTACTCCCGCCCGCAGAATCCCCCTTTCCCGCTTCGTCTTCCTTGGCCAGGGCGTCGTAAAGGTCCGCCACACTGTACTCCACATTATCGACTTGAAACGGCACGTTACTGTCACGTGCTATGGCGACCATCCCGACAACATTTCGAAACGTAAGGAGTGCTTTGGCAGGAATGGCTCCCTCCTCCTCGTCCTCCTCCCCGTTTCTGCGTCCAGATTTGCCTGCGCGAACATTGGGGATAGGAGAAAGCGGCCCACACAACGAATAAGCCTTCGCATGAGAGGACGCCTCGGGTGTACACCCCCAACCGGAGCAAAACTACATATTCCTCATGCTGTACTCCACAAAAAATCGTTCAACTCTAGACATTCCTCTGAGCGTGAGAGGACAGAACACACAAAGCTTATGCGTTTAGGTCCGTGCACCACCAGTTGTCGTCGACAAAGCATGCCTGGTAGTACGCTGTGCGTGCCTTCATTTTCCCACTTACTGGGGCAAATAAAACAGCTCTCGAGCATGCCGTACCTTCTACTGTACGAACAGGTCGATTTGAAGCGGGCATTCTACATAATACACACAAAGCAGTAATTTTGTTTTGTAACCTTTACGCACACTGCGTTCGACTGCAGCATACTTACCTATACTTTTACTCAATACTCTGTGCCGTCTGCTGTGACTCTCATCGACGACGAATCTACACAACACCAGCATCTCACCGGCTGTGATAGCATTGAGGTCGTCATAGTACGGACATGGCCGGTTCATGTTGCCGTCGTGAGATCGGAGGGCCTGCACCAGGACATGCTTGTCGCCCTCCTTCGACATCCTCGGGATCTTGCGGTGCGCGCATGTCCTCCTCAGCAGATGTGCGGCCCAGAGCGGGTAGTCCTTGCCCCGGGCTTTCTTGGCACTCGCTCCTAGGCTTGCCTTTGTTGAGTTCATGTTCCCTACGGCGCTGCCGCCGGCGCTCGCCTTCCGCTTGCCATGTTTTTTTTTTCTGCCCGCTCCCCCTCCCCCGAATGTTGCTTCCCGTATTTCCTTTGCGAACACGATATCTCCGGACTCGACATCTCCGGACTCGACATCTCCGGACTCCTGTGAGCCTATGTCCGACGGAGCTGTACTCTCCTCTACCGACACATTATTGCTGCTGCCACTTGACATCGGAGCGTCCTTCCCGTTGTCGTCGTCGCTGCTCTCCGATTCGCTCCAATTCTTCCCTGGGTCTTCGCCAAACTGCTTGTCGTCGAGAATCTTTCTTATGGCCACCTGACGAGCTTTAGCACCTTCACCGTCCATGAAGCCCGGCATCAGCCCCGCGCCAGGTGGCACCCCCTGTTGTGTATCGGTATGGGGGGTAACCCTGCTGTGGGCGGCCTGGCGGACCATGCCGCTCGGTGCCGGCTGGAGCTGTACGGCGCCAGCAGGCGTGATCTGGGCAACACCATGCCCAGCAGCTGCACCACTTTCACCTCCACCCTGCAGTCGCAGAGGCACCGTTTTCGTTCTTGATGGCCGGCCTGCCACTGCTACGGCGTTGTTGTTCATGGTGTGGGTGTATAACGTCTGTTGTGGGAGTCCTCGGGTCTCTCGCCTGGTCGGGACCGGTGTGTGTACGTCGAGCCGTGGCGCTTTCCGTAATTTTTGAAAAAATACGCGCCTTCGCGCCTTCTGCCGATAAGAACCACTGGAAACCCTAGTTACGGTTCCGTGAAAAAAGTTACTATTCGGTGAAAAAAGTTACGAATTTTTGCGGCCTGATAAGACACACCCTAATGCAACCGTTGCGGCCGCAGTATTGGTGATCCCAGTCGCGGCACGAGGAGTGCGTGTAATAGGTGCAGCGTTGTGGACACATCTGGATTTCTACCACGGGGGCCTGCAGGTTGTTGCAGCCGCCTTCCTTGGCACGGATTCCCTGATGAAACGGGGATCATCCTGTCCCCTGTTTTGTCGCCGTGAGAGGGTGTGCCCACTGCTGTGGGAGGTGGAGGGTGTGTGCCCTCGCTCGTGGCGCGGCTGCTGTAGCGTGTGTCTTCTTAAAAAAAAATGCGGATTAATTATATTTAATTGTTTTGTACCACCACCCCCCCTCCGCCCAGAGCATTTTTTTGGTGCGGGGGGTCCTGTTGTTGCAAGTGACCTATAAGTTCGGGGGTATTCGGTATCTAGCCGGGTGTTGTAGAATGGTGTGTACCATTTGAGGACTTGTTCAGTTTTCGGGACTCCTGCGCTTGCAGTCGTTGTCCCCCGGCCAGAGTTGACATTTGTGGGGAGAGAGAAGGATTTGTAAGAGTTAATGCCGTGCTTCGCAGCCAACGCCGCCGGAGAGACGAGAGCGTTCTGTGCGTCTCTCTCCCCAGCACGTAGGCTAGAAACCGAATAAATAATTAAGCAATTCGGAAAAAACCAATAATCAATATAGTCCATCAATTTTTCCGACGGATATATTGCGTTTGTCGAGCAGGTTGTGAGCGTCGTTCGGTGGCTGATCTACGATGCTGATGCGGAGGACAGGTTGAACTAGACGATGAAGAGGCCTACTGAAGTCGAAGTCGTCTATACGGCCGCAGGCAAACTGCTGCGTTCGTATCCAAACCCAGCAGGAACGCGCGCTGCAATTTCGCTGGGGAGACTGCTCATGACAAATTGACAGTCTCGCGATTTTGCCAGGGAGTCTCACTTGACGAGTACCTGGTGGAGACAGCGATGAACGCCGATGTAGAGGCTGACATCTCGGGAGGAACCTGCCTGGGTGCCGACGAAGGTTACTCCAGGACGTGTCGGGCTTGGGTGTGGCGGCCGCTTCGTTGTAGAACGTGTTGGACTTGTGTGTACTCCTCGGAAGAGCAACGTTCGTTAGAAGATCGGCGCGAAGAGCTCGTGGAGAACTCGGACAAATATATTTGATGTCTCGGCGAAACGGGGAGAGAGAAGCGTGCAGAACGTGTCTTCAGCCCTGATGAACTCGATCGAAGTCCTCCTCATGACGTCCAGGAGAAGAAGTGCTGGCTAGCGGTTTCTCCAGGACGGATGCGGTGTTCGGATAGGTTTTACCGGTCGAACTTATGTAGACGCTGTGGCTCCCTCTCGCTGTGTGGAAAAATGAGATATAATAACCTGGTGGGATGTAAACCTGTGTAGATTGTATCCCTGGCACTGGACACAGTGTAGGTGCAGAGCCTCACAGAGTGATCGTGAAATCACTTCGACAGAGGTTGAGACAGAAGGTGGGTTGGAATTTGGCGCTCAGGTGGCCGGTAGGTAGAGACAGATGGGGAGTGAGCAGGTTGGGGCGAACACCACAGGCATGAGCCCTCTGGCCTGTCACGGAGAACGTCACACTCTGGCTATTGCTAGCCAACCGATAATCGGATAGTCCGACGTGTCACAATATCCTAGAATATCTTTGTGTATATCTATAGCTAAGTGTATAACTCAGTCCAATTAACCCAAGATATTACCGGTAAATATTTACTGGATTCCTGTGACTTAACACTATGCATGGTAGCTTACAGCAGTACCAGTACTGACTACTGAACATTGAATAGCCCAGCAGACGGTACCGGCCTTAACACTGACTGCATAACTCCGACAAACGACTGAAACGGCCGTGCTGTCGTGCCTTCACTGGAAGCGTCGGGAGGGTGTTGTAGGCGGCGAAACCAGTGTTGAAGTGATACTTAGTGCCAAGGCTGCACCAAGAATATACGGATTGAGAACATTGGTGACGTAAACCCCTACTTCGGTGAACCCCGTAGATGGCGAGCCTTGAGTTCGCTACATTGGCATGGTGCCTGGAGATTGAAAGGCTCCGCGACCAGATCACACGCAGGCGACTAGCAGCACCTTATGTTTCCTCCCTCCACCCTACGCCCAACATCACAGCCTTCCCAATGCCAGCAAGTACGTAAACTTCGATCAAAGGGGCGAACATATTCAGCTTCATTGACATCCTCGCCCATCACCCCGTTGGTGGGTCTAACAACCCAATGCGCTGGTCATGACTACCGAAGTTCTTTGGCCACAAGCAACATATCAAGCGCGGCTCTGAAGATCAATGTCGAGGACAAAACTGGATCGTGCCACGAACCCTCAATAGGAACCCACAGGTGCCCTCTTTCTGCGATCGCGAGAGGAGGGATCGATCTGTACTGATGAGGGGTGCGCTCCCCGCTGCACCCGGTGGAGAAGAAGGATATGCCTCTCGTAAGCAAGCCGGCGATCTGGCCGAATGTGCTGCACCCCATCACAACCCCGTCGGCTTGAATCATGCAAGACATTTCGTTCTGAACGTCGGAGCCCACGTGAAGGACGATGGACTTGTCGCGAACGCGAAAAATGCCGGACCGTCTCGGGGTGCAGAAACTTCCGGCTTGCTTCTCCGGGCAATCACTTGGCGTCGTGGCAGCCAAGCATTCTTCGATCTGATCGTTGAAAGCGCGTGGAACACAGAGCAGAGTTACTAAATGTATCCCTAATCAAAAAGTAAAGAGGAGAGATCATCGCACCGGGTTGGACGTCAACATCCCAGATTTGGCCGTCGGTAAAAAATTTATTTGACTACACTTTCTGGGCAGACCAACCTCTAGACATCGTAAAAGCATAGAGTTTGCTTTGCAACTTGTCAAGACCTTTGTTTGTCGTTAGCAATGCGTAACAAGCGTTGACAGTGTGTTTGAGTCTGGGCACAATGTTCGGCGTCTTGCTTGTTACTCTTTTGGGGCTTCGATGTCACACACCCTAAATGAGTGACGCCTGCCGGCATTAAGGGTTTCCAATGAGAGGGATCACGGTTGTAAGCCGCGCACGACTACCGTGATATCCTAGGTACAACAGTAGGTCTCATACGGAGTCGAAACTTGAGCAAAATTTCCCAAAGCTACCTGGTGTATTGATTCCATTGTGGGGGATTCTTGCGCGAGGTGCCCGGATACACACGACCAAGGATTCCGCTCTCAGTTGCACGTTGTGGGTAGAAGATAGAAAATGCAGTTGCTACACCTGCAGAAGAGCACGTGTGAAATATGAAAACTTGAACGTGCACCGCAAGGTATCGACCCAAGCCAAAAGGTTATTTCCCTTACATTGCTGATTTGCGAAAAGGCTCAGGTGTTCGTACCTGGTCAAGTTCGACCGGCCAAGCCGGGAATTCTTCGAAAAGCCCGGTGACAATCGAAGGGCACGGACTCAGTGTTTCGGAGAAAACGTGGAACAGCGGCTCCGGCAACCCTCTTTGTCTGATCTCGTCTGCCACAGTCTCCATGATCAACTCCACGCTGTCAAAGTACTGCGGGCTTCCGTCGTAATAGGCCCGTCTATCACCCATGCGGATATGGACGGCGAAATGAAATCGGTCGTTCTCGAAGTAGCAGCGCGGGTTCTCGTCGTACCTGGTTGAAGGGAGCACCGAGAGAAGGGCATTTGTGGGACAAATGTTGTCCGCGGTAAGACTCGCCCTACTCGGGTCGGCTACATGTTGCACCCAACGTCGAAGGACCGGGAAAGAGGGCAATAATATTGCTTCTTGTCGCTCCGTCGCATGCTTCCATCTGACGAAGTCAAGATTCGCTTCAGCTGTACCCGTTCGCAACAAGCTCTGGTACCACAGACGACACGGCCGGTGCCGATCGTCAACAAATAACGATACAGCAGTCGTGGCTCCCATGTAAGAGGGTGGTGTGGCAAAGGCCCTCAACCCTCAGACATTGGAGCCCCCGCAGATACAGCAATAAGAGGATACAACGGAGTTCGACCCTCTTGCATCGAAGCCCCCTCCATACGTTTCCCTATTATATCAGAGCCACGACTCTACTTTCACATCGTTCTTTTATCCGCCAGCTGCACACCAGCTAGAGTCGAACAGAAGAGGTCCAATCTATGAACGTGGTGTTTGACACGCTGGTCTGGAATCTTGTCCATGGGTACACCAATAAACATACCATGCTGAACACTATTTTGAATTCGATTGTTGTACCTACGTTGTACCATTTTGGCAACGTGTCTCAAGACTGCGAAATTGGCTTGTTTCGCTGAAAATCTAACCACGCGCAGCCCTTTGAAGTAATTCCGACGTTGTGAAAAGATGCCACACCCCCTGGACCAGTTTTCAAAGTTCAAATACTCTAAAGTAAAAAGAGTGGACGTGCCTAAAATGGCGGCGTTGCAACCGTCTTATCGAAACCATTTCTTTGGGTTAGCTTCATCTTTGTCGTGGAGAAGTCGAGCTTTGAAAATCGATCCACCGGTGAAGTGCTTTGTGTCGCCTACGGAAGTTTTTTCATCTATCATGTCCACTGCTCGGTTTAGGC